ACATACTGTACCACGGTATACAATAAGAAATCCTGTACAAAAATTAAATTAAATTAATTAAATTATGAGATTTTGAATATAGTAAATTAAAAATATTATTTAAATTCCATGAAAGTAATATTATCATAGTGTGAGCAAAACATTATTGCATATTCAATTATTATTATTATTATTATTATTATTATTAATAATATATATATATATACTTATATACACATGCATATATACACATACATACTGTATATACATATACATATATATATATACATATACACCCCAACAAACACACAATACATATAATTTATATATATATAATTATATATATATGTATATATATATATATATATATATATTATACCATTCTTTTTGATATCAATTTATCATTTCACATTAAATACAATATCTGATATCAGACTTTTTCCAATATATAATGGCTGTCTCTTATACACATCTAGATGTGTATAAGAGACAGGTATATATACATGTCACTACTTTTGATGTTATTCTTTGACTATGCAGTACAGTAAACATATTTAAAAGAACAAAACATGTTTTACATGGTGATCACCTTGAAATTTAATATGGATGCTAAATGACCTTGACCTAAAATGGCTGTCATAATGACCTCTGATGAAATAGTTCCTATCAAAAATTTTGTGAGCTTATGTATGATTTTGCTGTAAAACACGACCGCTTACAAATTATTAAGATATTCTACCTATTTAACAGAAAAATGAAATTGAATGAACTTAAATGATCATCTGACCATGTCACAAGTGCTATAAATCATTGACCATGAAAATATATTTTTAGACATCATAATTCTTATTGGAAATAGTTTAAAAGTCGATATATTGATAAATATAGGTTTTGCGTGGCCGCCATTTTGAAATTCAAGATATCCGCCAGAATGACCTCGAATGAAATATTGCAGTTCATAGTAAAAGTTTTGAATTCTGAGAGCCTGGGTATGATTCTAATGTAAAATTTGACAATTACGTAATTTTAAAGATGCCATACAATATTTGACCTTAAATGACCCATTTGTGGTAATCTGACCAGGTCAAATATGATATGATGGTATTCCTCGATCATATAAACATACTCTTAGACATTAGAATTATAATTCAAAGTGATTTAGAAGCGGAGATATAGATAAACATAGGTTTTAAAAGGCTACCATTTTGAAATCCAAGATGGCAGCCATAATGACCTTGGATGAGGTGGTTCCTACCAAAAATTGAACGCTATGACCATAAGGAGCATGTAAAAAAAAATTGGTGCTTTTGTCCGGAAAGTCCACATTAAGTCCAAATGTGGCCCTAAGCTGCCGTACTATATAAAATGTTCGATCTTTCTCTGTAAAATCTAAGTATTAGAAACAATTTGTTGATTCAACTTTTAAAAGCAATGACAAAATATATTTTGTAATATTTTGATTTCAATGATGTTTATGATTCACACATTTTATCAGTGTTTTATCTGCTCGCATTTTAGTTCTGAGAATGCCGTTTTCGGCCATCTAGACATGCCATAACCATATAATTGTTACCTTACCCGAGCTGGCCACAACCTTGGTGAGACTCAGGTGGTCTACAGTAGTTTTTCTTTCTCATTGAATGAAACAAAAGTGTATGTTCAGCTAAATAAATGAAATATATTGTCTCGGTTACAATCATCACGAAGCAATGAGACGGGCTGTTTAACCGCACTACTTGTTTTATGCTCGAATGAATTTGAGGAGTCACGTGACGTAGACGGCCAATCAGGTTGCTTAATTTTTCTTCATTGGCAATTCTCATATAGGGAAAAAAAAATATTGCGGGCCCACCATTTACTTAGGCTTTCAAAAGAAGGCTGTTGTAGATGTTGGGCAATTGATGAGCGCCCTCGACACGGTTCAGATATTCTTCCCTTTTTCGTATTGGGGGGGGGGGGGGGCTCAGTAGCCGAGCAGTGGCACGGTAACGAAGATGCTTGAAAGTTAGCATCAAATCGATGGAGATCACTTATGTTCCTATACAAGAATAAAATGGTCACATGTGACACAAAATAATGTATGTTTTATTTTATTTCAACTCCACACTACCAGCAGAGTCCAACCCACCAATTGCAGAATGAAAAAAAAAACTGGATAAAAACTACAATTATAGCCTGACATCAAGAATACATTGAATGAGTTTTGATACTCAGTGAAAGAATTTAAAAAAATGTATTAATAGTGTTATCTAAATTAAAACAGTAATTAAGTAAGTCCTTTCTTAAAATTATCAACTCTACTAAATTAAACTGAGAACAAATTTACTCGTCCAAGACATTGTGCAGAAACTCTGAAATGTCTTGCCGTAATGCTGTACATAAAATTTTATTTATTATTTATTTTAAAGATTGTAAATAATTTCATCTATTTTCTATTCTCGCTGCTTAAGAATTTAGTTATAAAAGCAATAAAATCAATTTACTTGATTATCAACCAGTTTAAAAGGGAACTAGAAAGATGACTTTTTTTTCTAGAGGGGCGGCTGTAAATTTCTAAGGAAATCGATTGGTTGTATTTTCTAATATGAGGAAACATATGAGTAAAACCATCGTAGTATAAACTGTGATGCTGTACATAAAATTTTATTTATTATTTATTTTAAAGATTGTAAATAATTTCATCTATTTTCTATTCTCGCTGCTTAAGAATTTAGTTATAAAAGCAATAAAATCAATTTACTTGATTATCAACCAGTTTAAAATGGAACTAGAAAGATGACTTTTTTTTCTAGAGGGGATTTTTGGTATGGTAAATTTCTGGCTCCATCTCTAGTTAGTGCCACTTAACCATCGTCATCATACATCACCTACATATTATGATTGAGCTTTGTGTGCCCAGCCGTTTGAAAAATTGCAAACGGTATTGTCATTTGACAAAAATGTGACGAATACATTTGCGGTGTATGAATTTGTGCTGAATGAATTTGCGCACAAAATGGTGATTGCACTGCACTGAATGGTCATTGCACTGCCTAACGAATGCGCTGCAATACATAGTGGATGCACTAAGCTATGGAACGCCTCTTCTGCCTTCAGTTCACAATCGTACATGCAGTACATACCAATCGCTGTGCACTAAACTGACCAAACAGTATGCAGTACTTGCCAATTACAATGCAGTTTAATATTGCGCCATTTACACCTCCACCTAGAGACGAAATTGAATATCACGTGCAGTGGCGTCGAGAGGGGGACAGGTGGTCGCTGCCCTGGGACCAGGGTCTACTGGGGGCCCGGACCAAGATGACAGTTTTCGGGGTGAGAACAAAATTTCCATAGGGCCCAAGCCAGGATGAAAACTTTTGTTGTCAGATTTAGGAGGAGACTTAATTTGGGGAGCGGCCGAGTGGGGGTCCCAAGTGAAGGGGGCCCATGTGAGGTGTTGCCCCGGGGCCCTTACTGGCTCTCGATGCCACTGATCACGTGACGTTATTAGACGGCTGTAAATTTCTAAGGAAATCGATTGGTTGTATTTTCTAATATGAGGAAACATATGAGTAAAACCATCGTAGTATAAACTGTTAAATAACTACTACAGGAATCAACAATGTTCTCTCGGAGGTATAGCATTTTGAGCTATGCAGTAGGTTATTAAAATATATGTCTCGCTGTTGTTTTCTTTTATATAGGACGAAATGTATAAATTGATTTCGATATAAACGTAAAAGTAAATAAATAAATTAATAACTATACAATGATTTGGTGGAAAAAATCAAGCAAAAATAAGTGATAACATCAATTGAATCTCCTGTTGAATTATAGGCCGGGGAGGGTGGAGGTTTTCGCCTAATCTATGGTTGGTTGTCATGTCCCAAACATCAATAATTGTAAGATTTGGAATCTCGGCCATCACCTTCCTCAGTTCTTTGTCCAACATTAATGAAACCCAGTCGCCCTTATCTACTGAAGTTACAGCACCAGCGTATGCTAAAGTGTTTGGAGTTTTGAGGAAAACTAGAGTTTTGGGACTCCTTTTGTACAATCGTAAAAGTGACGCCTTAGTCGTTTCTAAACGCCTCCGGTAAACGTGTAATTCCGTTGGTGTAAAATGTGCGAAAAAACAAAGGCAGATTATAGTGTTTTCATCTGCGGATATGTTGTCAATCTCGTTTGCTGCATACGCAACATTCTTCACAAATACTGATCTTGTACGGATTGGAAATGCGTGATGTCGGTACATAAATGTCAAGTTATATTTTTTTGATGTTGCTCTTAAAGGCCCCGTTTTTAAAGTTGCTCCAGGGGCAGCTTGAACAATGGATGCATCACTGATACTCGCAGCAAAGTACTCAAACCACTGTCGCAACGTTGAGTCGCCGTAGAAGTAGAAACGTTTATTAGTCAACAACTTAGACGTTAAAGCTGATTGGACGCTGATGTTCTTTAGAGTACAGTCGTTAGAGTACCATTTATCTTGGAAGTAGTAACCTGCGGCAATTTTCTTTTCAGGTTTGGCTGAATTCGTAACCGGCCGACATTCTGTTGTTGACTCTACACATATTGTGTCCTTATCTGTAAAAA